AGGTTACAGACAAAAGGAAAATCTGGACTATTTTGACACATATTCTCCTGTGACAAGAATAACATCCATCCGCATGCTTATTGCCATAGCAGCATTGTATAATTTAGAGATACATCAAATGGATGTTAAGACAACTTTCTTAAACGGTGATCTAAATAAAGAGATCTATATGAAGCAACACAAAGGGTTTGTAGTGCCAGGGCAAGAAAAGAAAGTTTGTCGGCTTGTAAAATCTCTTTATGGATTAAAACAAGCACCTAGGCAATGGCATGAAAAATTTGATCATGCTATGCTTACTAATGAATTTAAGATAAACGAATGTGACAAGTGCGTCTATGTTAAAAACACTGACCAAGGATATATCATCGTTTGTCTTTATATGGATGACATGCTTATCATTGGAAGCAATCAAAATACGATCAAATCAACTAAGCAAATACTAAATAGAAGATTTGATATGAAAGATATGGGGGTTACAGATGTAATATTAAGAATGAAAATTACTAAAACATCTGACGGATATGCATTATCTCAATCACAATATATTGAGAAAATTCTTGGTAAATTTATGAAGGATGATATGAATGTAGCTAGAACACTTGTAGATATCAGTCTTTATTTATCAAAAAATAAAAGTGATACAGTGTCAGTTAAAATACTCCTAAATCATTGGAAGCCTAATGTACCTAATGAATTGTACTCTTCCTGATATAGCTTATGCTGTCAGTAAATTGAATAGGTACACTAGTAACCTCGGAGAAGACCATTGGAAAGCGATCATTCGGGTTCTTAGATATCTAAGATTTACGCGTGATCATGGTTTGAACTTTATTCGATATCCAGCAATACTTGAAGGTTATTGTGATGCCAATTGGATATCGGATACTAAAGATTCAAAATCCACTAATGGATATGTCTTTACTATGGGAGGCGCTACTGTTTCTTGGAAATCCACGAAACAAACATGCATTACATGATCTATAATGGAATCTGAGTTCATTGCTTTAGACAAAGCAAGAGAAGAAGCAGAATGACTTCGTCACTTCTTAGAAGACATTCCAATGTGGCCTAAACTTGTGCCAGCTATTTGCATTCATTGTGATAGTCAATCTGCAATAGGTAGGGCACAGAATCATATGTACAATGGTAAGTCACGACATATTCGTCGTCGACATAATACCATAAGGCAATTGCTCTCAAATGGAATAATCTCAATAGATTATAAAAAATCTAAAGAGAATATTGCAGATCTATTAACAAAAGGTTTGACTAAAGAATAAGTGTATAGTTCATCGAAGGGGATGTGATTAAAGCCTATTACATAAGAGTCATCATAATAGTAACCCTACTTATATGACTGGAGATCCCAAGAACTAAGTTCAAAGGGATAACTAAGTTATGTGTGGCTCACAAGAAATTACCAAGGGATTAAAATTCCCTACCCATTCCTATGATGAGAGTGATATCTACAACATGTGTTGTATGCAGGGGTATAAGGATAAACTTAGCTTTTAATGATTACTTATATCTTGATTTAGGCATAAAATCAAGACGAGTATAAGAGATACTCATAATAAAAATCACCTATATGAGTGTCAAACTAGGGCTGGTTCTATGGGAATGAAGAGGCTAAATTTTTTAGAAGCACTCATGAAAACCAAGAGCGTTCAAGGCCAAAATGAACACAACCGTGAGAACCACGATGTGTCAGAAGATATTTTGTGTGAAATCTATTGTCTTGGCTTACACAAATAGCTGAACAATTCAAGGCATCGCGTTCATTGGTTAGCTAGTAAGTCCGATAGGTTATCACTAGGGAAGGTTTAAGGCCGAAAGCTACCTATCTTGATGCAAGATATTTTCAATTTATACTCTTTTGACAAATTCTGCATATTGTTGCATTTCCCTTGTCATAAATTCCATTCGTGTGGGGGGATTATTATAGAAATGGTTTTGGAAATTAGATTTTTCCTCAACTTTGGTCTATTTTTTTAGGTAGGACCCATGCGCCAAATTTGGCGGGTCTAAATGGTAACGTGTTATATGCCGCGTTGTGATTCACGTGGTATATTTGGTTGCTCAAAACTATTATCGGGTGAATGGAAAATTGAAGCCAAAAAGAGCTCCATGGAAATGCTGCTTTTTGGTGAAATTTCCTAAAGATTTGAATAAAGGCTTGTCCCACATTGATTTGGTGGGAAACTTTGAGTGGGTTTATAAGGCTTGGGGTCGGAACTTGGCATAGGGCCCAAGGGGCACCCAAGTTTTGTATAGAGGGAGGTGATGGGCAAAGTGAGCTAAACCCATTGGATCCAAAATAAACACGCGCGCTGCCGTTTGGTTGGGCGGGCTGGGCTAGGCTGGGTACGGGTGCGTAGTGCGTGGTTGGGTTAGGCTTGTCTGGCCCAATACTTATCTTTTTGGGCCAAAAATATTTGAATTTTATTTTATTTATTTAGAAATAAAATTTGTCCGTTTTTTATTTCAAATTCTAGTTGGAAATAAAATTCAAATTTTGGTTTGCATCTCTTTAGAAATTCTGTACAGTTTCGTATCTGTCCAAACCGAATCTGTTCAAATTCAAATCCGCCCAAAACAGGTTTTTAACAGTGTCTACTGATTTGTATCTGTTTAATTTTAATTGAACAAGTACTGTACCTGTTTAATTCAAACCAAACAACTACCACTTCACCTATATAAATAGGCAGTTCCTCATTTGGTTTTCACTCGAATTTTTCGTTCTTCTCTACTGCAATTCATCTCTGCATTTTGCTACATTAATTCCATTAATTTTCTGTAGAAAAGAGTGTATACACTAAGTGTGTTCGTTGTACGAAAAATTTGTAGTGTTGTAATTTTTCGTTGATTAATCATTTTATCTTGGGAGATAGATGTCCACAATCTGAAAGTACCATGGAGAGGATGAATTTGTCTTAAGGACACAGTGTTAAATACTGGACTTGATCAAAGACTTTGTTTGAGAAATTAATAATGTAAGTTATTTATTTATTTTTTGTTTTATTTATTTATATCAGATTTTGATTTTGTTTTTTGTAAACAAAATAAAATTATATTTTTATTTATTTTATTTACCGGTTTGATTTTTGTAATCAAACAATCTCTCTCATTTCCTTTATTTCTTCTGTATTTCGTTTGTTGTTAAGCACACAAACAGAATTTATTATTTAAATACAGTGAAGATTGTCCAACAACCCTTTCCATTCATTTGTCGTTAACAAAGTAGACGAAATTTGTCATTTAAAATGTATGTGACATTTTGTTGTTTCATTAGCATCCTTACACTTTTATTAAAATTTCACTTTAATCCTCACACTTTTCTCAAAATTCTAATTTAGTTCCTCCATTTTCTATTTCCATTAGCTTTATTAACAATAGGTGGACGGAAAGATGAAATTAGAACTTGATTTAAAGTGTAGAGCACAATTGAAAGTGAAATGACCAAAGTGAGATTTGGTGAAAGTGCAATAGTATTTGATTGTGATTTTTTGAATATAATTTTTTGAAAATTTTATACAAATTATTTGATTATTCTGAGAAAGGAGTTATGTTTTCAAAAAAAAATAAACGAGCCCTCTGATGCTTCACGTGATGTTATGTTTTCAAAAAAAAATAAATGAGCCATCTGATTCTCTAGAAATAGGTAGGCTGTAGTTGAATCTACTTCTGCCTCCTCTTCATAGCCTCTGCCTTGCTATTTATTACCTTTACCAAACATTTTACCACATCTTCACTTCCGTTGATATGCGAAGGTCGGCAACACCAAAGCAACGACGACGGCCAGCAACGAAGACATTGTTCAGGTGTGGCCGTTTTGAGCTCAGGGTGACGAAGATCCGACGACAAAGAGGTCAGTCGTACTTTTTTGGTTCATCATGGGTTCATTTTGATCTCCATTTCCCCCTTCCATTTTCCAGTGTTCTTCTTCATAAATTTGTAGGAAATGAAATTTTTTTCAACAAATCTATTCTCTACGGTAGCAGTTAGACGAAAATGGTACTTGAATCTCGGAACTGAAGTTTTATATATAAACCTAAAACTGGTGTGGTTTGATTTATACACCAAATCCATAGTTGAATCTGGAAAAAAAAATTCAGATTATGAATGTTTAGTTCGCTGCTTTGCTTTTGGAAAATGATTTAATCATTTGAAACCGAAAGAAATTTCTCTACCTTCGGGTAACTGGTTTTGATTTCAGAATGTATTTTCCACATTTCGGACATAGTAAGCATAGATTTTATGCTTCCCATTTGGGAAATTAGCTTTATCATATTTTGTTCAGTTCGTCATAGTTTCCCCTTTCCCAACTGTGGTTCCAAAATCGGTATTGAAGTCCTTCTCTTATATGAAAATGAAGCAGATTTTTTGTAGTTTTCACTGTTCTGGTTTGGTGTATAAAATCGGTATTGAATTCCTTCTCTTTTTGTTGGTTTTGGTTGGTTTTACTTATTTCTATACTTTTATTGTTGTAATCGTTGTTGAAGTAGTGACACCATCAGTTTCTTGTGGTCGATTCAATCTCCGCTGTACCAAGATTCGTGAGGAAAGGAGTAAGGTCTTTCAGCCCTTGTAATTGTATTAAATGTATTTTTCTTGAACAAGGCACGTTGCATATTGTTAAAGTGCACTGTGCAGTTCATTTAGGTATACCCCCATTTACTGAAGACGCTTTGAAGACGAAGCAAAAGGCAGCACACACACCAGACTCATCTTCTTTTGCTGAAAACGACGTGGAGGTAAATATTACTTTGCTGCATTTTGTAAATGTGTTACATGCAATGTTTACTGAAACAAGAATGCATTAAAACATCATAACTTTATTCCTTGCAATGTTTACTGAAACAAGAATGCATTAAAACCAACTGTCAGTCAAATGGAATTTGTAACTTGTTATTTTCACCATGGTATGTAAGACCTCATCACTTAACATTTACCCATGACACATGAAAAATTATCACATGTGTCATACGTGTATTTCATAGATGGACAGTGATGGGTTCGTTGAGGATGCGCAAGAACTGAAGTTGTGGCCAAATAGGATTGAGTTGGCCTTCATCCAACTGATGGTCGAGGAGGTGAAGCAAGACCCCTCATTAAACAAAAAAAACTCTTTTACCACAAGGCATTGGACTCGAATTGACGACGAGCTATACAGTCAGTTCAAAGTTAGGTACACAATTAACCGATTAAAACAAAAGTACCACCGCATCAAGCAAGCGTACAATACATTTGTGAAATTGAAAAACCATACGGGGTTCGGTTGGGATGAGCAGAGGAAAACGGTCATGGCCCCGGATGATGTCTGGGATCACTATGTGAAGGTAACAACCACCATCGTAGGATTGACTACAACCTTCATACTGCAGTACATTAACTCGAACAATTCTTATTTACCATATCTTTGGTTTTTTATTTTTGTAGGCACATCCCGGAGCAAAAGTGTTCAGGAAAAAGGGTCTAGACCACATAGACTTGTTAGACGTCCTCTTTGCCAACTCCCAATCCACTGGCGCACTTGCTCGTGCTTCAACCCAAGGACCCCCAACCTCTGATGAAGAAAGGGATATCCAAAGTGCATTCTTTGGTGTTGGAATCAACTCAAATACCGATTCCATCCCTATTGATGACGACATGGACGGAGATGATGACCCGAAGGTAGGTGGGAGTAGTGGCAACGATGGTGGGCGAAAGGGTGCACACTTTGATTTCGCACTTGATACATGGACTGCCACAAACCTTGCCAAAAAAGAATTTTTTGCTTGCCAAAACAAAATGGCTAAAGTGAGCCAGGCTGAGAAAAAACAAAACTCCATTGTAGCATGTATCCAATGTTTGGCAACAATGGACGAAATCACTCCCGACCAATACGTGAAGGCGTGTGAGAGTTTCCGCGATAAAGCAACGAGGAAAATGTTCATGTTGATGCTACCCAACATGCAGCTGCATTGGGTTCGTAAGCTTGCTTAGGGATGATGGACTTTGTACTGATGCAATTTCGTTTTGGTCAGCATCCAAGTTGTTGTATGTGAGCGTATGTAGCTAAAACACTAAAAATCGGGCCTACTTTTTATTTTTATTTTTAATCTGTGTATTTCATTTGTCAACTATGGTTATGTAAGGAAGTTATGTTCAGCTTTGAAAGGAAGTTATGGACTTGTATAAATTGTCATGCATAATGCGGTGGTATTCTATGTTATGTTGACTTTTGTTCTTTACAAACACCTTTCTGATTGATGTTCTCATTATATCCTTCATGTACCAGTGCATTTTTTTCCTAGGTGGCTGAAAAAGTTGAAGATCCCTTAAACCTTTATTCTGTTGAAAATGTTCAGCTTTTTAATGCTATGTGGTAGTTCCTTAGTTTGCTTGGACATATAAAACAAATCAATGTTTAATTATGTGGTAGTTCCTTAGTTTGCTTGGACTGCTATGTGGACTCTGATTTCACCTCTTCCTGTTTCTATTACTGAAAGGTGAAGACTGCTATGTGGACTCTTATTTGGCTGGATTCCACCATAGTTTATATTGGTCTTTTAAAGTACACAAACAGAACATTTATAAGTAGGAAAATGCTTGAAGATCCCATTTTTTTGAAAACTCTCACAATTTTTTTTAGGTCTCCATTATTGATGTATGTGTAGGATTCATTTATGTATATGTGGGTGCAGGATAATTTGTTGCTAATAACTGTTTAAATTGAAGCTTTCTTGCTTATGGAAAGGTTAATAAATACAGTTATTATAATCTACATCATATATCTAATATTTTTTGATAATATATACTTCGTGCACATTTTTAATATATTAAAATCTCCATGTCTTCATTAGTTGTGATTTATTTAAAAGGATATTATTCTGGATCTCATTTTCCTGCATTTATCAGAGCCTCTGATATGGCGATGCCAAAATTAAAAGCTTTATGGCTTCAGTTAAGATTGGCAGTCAAACATGCAGCATATTTGTGCTTTTAACATGAAGAAAAAAAGCAAAAATAGGGTGTCCTTATATATGAAAATTAGTCAAGTTGAATTTATATATGAAGTTGAAGATTAATAAAATTAGTTGATTTAGGAGTTTAATTTATATATGAAGTTGAATTTGTTTAGGATTTTGTTTCTTTATAGGATTAGTTTGGTTTTCCTGTATATGTGGCTTTGGTGTAATGAATTAGGATACTACTATAGTGGTTTGAATTGTGTTCCATTTTTCTCCTTTGTTTTATTCCCTTCTTCTTCAGCTTATTTTATGCCACATAGACTGTAGTTGCTTTGTATGGTACATGGACTCTTCTAAATTAGTGAAGTACATCTAGCGATACATAGAAGGCCTTTTTTTTTTTCCCTGCTGCTTTTCTTATATGCTGTAACTGACCTCCCCTGGTTAAGCATTTCCGCGCAACCATTTGCATAAGAACATTTATATATATATGAAAAAAAAAAGAGTTATGCAAGCAACCACACAATGCTAACTTGATTACTGCATATATGATATTGGTAAAATTGGTTAATATTTTGTCAGCCTTATTTCATTTTACTTTCCTGAGTTGCTTATAATTATGCTGCTACATAAACTTGGCTTCATATTAAAACTGTTCTTTAGTCCTTCCTTTCATAGCTTGGATCAATGTTATGAAACTTCAATGACAGAACATTCAAAAATTCCATTCCAAACTATTTGGAATTGATCATGGTCTAGTGATCTGTTCTGAATTGATTCAGATTCTATTATTGATTTTATTTTTTAAATCTATGCATCTGCTGCACAAGTTACTGTTTAGACAAGGCACTAAACTGAATGCAGGAGTTTCATTTATTACATGTTGGCTTGTAACCTTGATGATAAGCCTAAAACGAGTTAAAATTATGGCAAAAAGGGCTTAAGACTTATACGAAAATATTTTATCTGTATATTTTTTGAGGTGTGTCTGGTTGTTATTTGAACGAACCTATTGATTGTTCTGTTCGCTGTACCATTCATCGTGATTCAATGGATCTCTGAAATTGCTGACTGCAAGGCTAAGTGACTTTAATTTGCTGGGCCACATGATATCTGCTATACTAAATGTGTTTTGCCTTCCCCTCGCATGTGTTTTTTTACCTAAAACTCTCATAAATCTATGGAATCAGAAAATTATTTTCCCCAATTCCATCGAAATTGTAATATTGTAGAGAGTTTCAGAAATGAGTCAACATTAGGGTGAAAAGGGTTTAACAATTTATTGGTAAACTTTTTTCTGTATTTTTGAGCTGAGCTAGCTTGCCATATCATGAACCTATTGGTTGTTTTGTTGGCTTCTCTATTCATCATGATCTGAACTTGCTGATTGCAAGACTAAGGGAGTTTGATTTGCAGGACCATATGATTCTTCTATATCAAATGTGCTCCACATGTATATGTATCTTTTCTACCTAAACTTCTTAAAATGGTTGTGGAGTCAGAACTTATCATTGGTATTAGTAGCGTTGGTAATATTTACAAGTGATTCTTTTTCCCCCAAATATTTTGAATATTACCATTCGAACAGGGCTTTTTAAGTCCATTTCACTTATTAATCCTTTATTGTTGTGCTGGAAAAATTTATTATCAAAATAGTAGAAAATGATCCGGAAGAAATTATAGCATTGATTTGAATTTTAATTGCGTTTGGTATTAGGGTGGAGTATGCAGTTCACAATACAATCTCCTGTACTTGTATATCCTTCATGTTCCATATATGTGATTTTAAAATGGATATATAATCTAACACTTCCAAATGCATATTGGATCAAGTTGTTCTCAGAAGATCCCATATAAATCTCACATGTGTGCACCCACTTTCATGTGAGTTTCTTTGCACAGATTTTCTGTGCATATAACACTAGTGACCATTTGCACCTAATATATTTCAGGAAAAAAAAATTGAAACTAAGGCCTGTACCTATGTCTCTATGTTGAGCATGAACTTGAGGGAAAAGAAATAGAGGCCTTTACCTATGTCTTTATGTGCTTGTACATGGAGCTTTTTCTATGATCTATAAAATGTATCTTTCATATCTAATTTTGTATTAAACTTATCAAAGTTAGTCTATATATTTATAATTAAATTACATTAAAATATTATATAATTAGTTAGGGTTTGGATCTTCAATGGGAAACAAGGTGAGGATTTTCACCAACTGTATATAACACATACACCAAACCAAACAGACTACTAAATATAACACATAAGCAGCAACAGAACAGCAACAAAATGTTCATCCGCGCTGTTGTAATGTTTATTTTCTGGTGGACTTCTTGTCGTATACCAACTGTTGTCATGTTTATTTTCTTGTACTACTCAAATTTCTTTTCTTGCACTTAAAAATCCTAGTGAAACAATGTGGAAAATTAGAAATTTCATACTACAAAGTTATGGATGGATAATAGTATGAATTTATGTATCGATGTGAAATTACATTTCATGTTTATCTTACTTTCTTCGTGTTTACAAAAATGGACCCTAGTCAGTCAAATGAATTTCCCAACTACCACAACATCACAGCGGAGATGGATTCAAGTGGGGAAAGCTTGGAGACCGAGGACAGCGCAGACAGCGAGGACAGTTCGGACAGTGCTGATCTTGAGGACAGTGAAGACAGTATTGCAGCGCAGTTGAGGTCGTCATTTATTGCATCAGACGATGATGGCTTGGACTTTGCCATGGTATGCCAGATGTGGGAAGCAACCAATGGAATTCCGGGGAAGTAGCCCCAACAGACATGTCTGTACACTGGAGAAATGTACACTCAACATTTATTGAATGGTCATCCGCGCACAATTCGGGAGGTCTTGCGGATGGATGCACCAACGTTCAGGTCCCTTTGTGATGAATTGAAACGCAGTGAGTTCATAAAGGTGGACAAGAACAGGTTATCTATAGAGCAATCCCTTGCTATATTTTTATATATATGTGGACATAGTGAAAGACATAGAGGATTCGCATGCACTCTGCAAATGATCCATGGTTCAATAGGCGCCGTAATGCACGTGCGGGCCAAGCAGCATCCGTAACTCCTGCGGCAGGAATTTCCAATGAAGCAGATGAAGTCATGAATGAAATGGTTCAACTTTGTGATGAAATTGCGACAGCAATGTGGAACAACCATAGGGTTCATCCATAGTACCACATTAAAGTTGTCATTTGTATTGTTCAGTCGGATAATCTTTTGTGGTTAGAATTATGTAAGACCTATGAAGTTTGTTTGATCTTTTGTGGTTAGAATTATGTAAGACCTATGAAGTTTGTTTGATCTTTTGTGGTTAGAATTATGTAAGACCTATGAAGTTTGTTTGATCTTTTGTGGTTAGAATTATGTAAGACCTATGAAGTTTGTTTGATCTTTTGTGGTTAGAATTATGTAAGACCTATGAAGTTTGTTTGATCTTTTGTGGTTAGAATTATGTAAGACCTATGAAGTTTGTTTGATCTTTTGTGGTTAGAATTATGTAAGACCTATGAAGTTTGTTTGATCTTTTGTGGTTAGAATTATGTAAGACCTATGAAGTTTGTTTGATCTTTTGTGGTTAGAATTATGTAAGACCTATGAAGTTTGTTTGATCTTTTGTGGTTAGAATTATGTAAGACCTATGAAGTTTGTTTGATCTTTTGTGGTTAGAATTATGTAAGACCTATGAAGTTTGTTTGATCTTTTGTGGTTAGAATTATGTAAGACCTATGAAGTTTGTTTGATCTTTTGTGGTTAGAATTATGTAAGACCTATGAAGTTTGTTTGATCTTTTGTGGTTAGAATTATGTAAGACCTATGAAGTTTGTTTGATCTTTTGTGGTTAGAATTATGTAAGACCTATGAAGTTTGTTTGATCTTTTGTGGTTAGAATTATGTAAGACCTATGAAGTTTGTTTGATCTTTTGTGGTTAGAATTATGTAAGACCTATGAAGTTTGTTTGATCTTTTGTGGTTAGAATTATGTAAGACCTATGAAGTTTGT